AACTTACACCTTGCGCTAGGTGTACCTCAGTTGCCATTCAGGGAAGTTGTGCAAGACTCGCCTAGGTTTGCTGTTGCTTTGCTGCCTGCCACTTGGACATCGAACAGCCAATATTTATGTTGCCAATGACACACGGGGTGTTCGAACGTTTTTCTGAAAACCTGACTCAAGTGCTGATGATGTAAGATCAGCACCCATCCATCGTGAAAGTCACCCTCCAGCAGCCCTTGCCCCTGGGATCTTGGGAATTGATTGGAATCGTACATGTGTCAAGACAGAGCATGACAGAGAGCTGGTTTTTCCTGTGGGTGAAATACACAGTCGCTGCCATCTCGTTGCCATCTTGTTGATCTTGTTGATTGCACGTTGAGAAAGCTGCTTGGTATTTCTCATCAATGGCTGCGTCTCTGCCTTCAGCTGGGCAACTTCTGGACCGGAGATGTGAAGCCACTCGCCTGGAGATGTTCAGCAAGGGTGAAGACTTGCCAAAAATCAAAGAATCAATTAAGGTTAAAACGCGTTTCGCTTTATTCACCTCTCGACTCAGATCCTTCGCAACACGAGCTGCCCCACTGAAATGCAGCTTTGACACCTGCTGGGTATCCATGAATAGTTCCCTCCTGTAGCCTGGCTGAATGACACAAGATTTATTGAACTTTTTTGGCGAAATCGATGGCACCCTGTGTTGCTTGACTTCTGAAACTATTTCAAGTGACATCTTCATTTTCGCAAGTCAGGCAGTCCACAAGGCCTTCCAACGTGCCGCGATGTGGTACTGGCTGAAGCAAACACTGGTGGAAAAACCTGCGACAACGATGACCACGGGAACCAGCGGACACATTGACACAAGCCACGATGAGTATGGGTACAGATTTTTTGTGGGATTGTTTTTGTTTTTTTTGTGATTTTTTTTGTGTTTCAGTCTGGGGCACTTTTCCTTGCTATTTGCTACATTTTGGAGCAAAAACCTGTACTTTGCTGAATTTTGGAGCTAAAATGTGCCATTTGCACTGTTCATCATTTTTTCCATGGTTTTAGCCGGTTTTTCCATGGTATTCATTGATTTACCCAAAGTTTTCATCGATTTTTCCATAGTTTTCATTGAGTTTTCCATGGTTTCAATTGATTTTTCCATGGTTTCGATCGATTTTTCCATGCATAGCATGCACCTGGTGAACATGTAGAATAGGTTGAAGCACAACCGTGTTGGGTCTAAATAGTGGCATTGGATGCTATCATAGTGTTGGTTGGTTTAGGGTTTATTTATGTTTATTTAGGGTTGTTTTAGGATCATTTAGGGTTTATTTAGGGCTGGTTTAGGGTTTATTTAGAGTTGGTTTAGGGTTTATTTAGGCTTGGTTTAGGGTTGGTTTAGGGTTTATTTAGGGTTATTTTATTGTTCGTTTAGGGTTTATTTACGGTTGGTATAGGGTTTATTTAGGGTTATTTAGGGTTGGTTTAGATTTATTTAGGGTTGGTTAAGGGTTTATTTAGGCTTGGTTTATGGTTGGTTGAGGGTCATTTAGGTTATGTTTAGGTTTGGTTTAGGGTTTATTTAGGGTTGGTTTAGGGTTTATTTAAGCTTGGTTTAGACTGGTTTAGGGTTTATTTAGGCTTGGTTTAGGGTTTATTTAGGGTTGGTTTAGGTTTATTTAGGGTTGGTTTACGGTTTATTTAAAGCTTGTTTTGGGTTTATTTAAAGTTATTTAGGGTTGGTTTAGGGTTTGTTTAGGGTTGGTTTAGGGCTGGTTTAGGGTTTATTTAGGGTTAGTTAAGGGTTTATTGGGGGTTGGTTTAGGGTTATTTTGTTTAGGGTTTATTTAGGGAGGGTTATGTTGGGTTGGTTTATGTTTGGTTTAGGGTAATTTAGGGTTATTTAGTGCTATTTATTGTTATTTAGGGTTGGTTTATGATCGATTTAAAATCTGCTAAGGGTTGGGTTAAGCTACATGTATACATACATGCATGCATGCATACATGCATGCATACATGCATGCATGCATACATAGATAGATAGATAGATAGGTAGATAGATAGATAGGTAGGTAGGTAGATAGATAGATAAGATTCGATTCGATTCGATTAGATTCGGTTAGATTCGATTAGATTCGATTAGATTCGATTAGGTTAGATTAGATTAGATTAGATTACGTTAGATTAGATTAGATTAGGTTAAATAGATAGATTAAATAGATAGATTAAATATATAGATTAAACAGACGGATTAAATAGACAGATTAAATAGACATATGACATAGGGAGATTGAATAGATAGACTAAATAGATAGATTAAATAGATAGATTAACAGTTAGGTTAGATAGATTAGATAATATAGATAGATTAGATTAGATGGATTAGATTGATTTGATAGATTTGATAGATTAGATAGATTATATAGATTATATAGATTAGATAGATTAGATAGGTTGAATAGGTTAGATAGATTAGATAGATAAAATAAAACAAGGTAAAACAAGATAAAACAAGATAAAACAAGATGAAAAGATAAGATTAGATAAGATTAGATAAGATTAGATTAGGTTAGGTTGGGTTAGATTAGATAGATAGACAGATAGGTAAAGCATGGTAAAGCCACAAAAGCAACACACCCACAAAAGCCACAGAAGCCACAAAAGCCACAAAGCCACAAAGCCAGACTGGAAAACAAAGAAAAAAAGAACAAAATAGCCCTCCGATGAGTATTCTGCAGCAGTAGCGGCTCTAAACTTCTCGTCTTGGCTTGCGCACTGTTTTTGTACTCATCTCTACTCGCTGGGTGAATGTAGATATCAAAAAAATCCTTCAAGATCCAAGGAATTCACATAATGTTGCAGCCTGTTCCAATATTACAACAATTCCCAGAGCTTTCCAAACGAAAGTTCATGAAGTTTGTTTTTGTTTCCGATTTCACAAAAGTAAGACCAACACCTGAGCAAACAACACCAACACTGAGATGCATTCAGAGATCTTAAGAGATATTAATAGCAATTTTATCTTCTCAGCACAGCGAGCTGATCCAGGGGGCCCGCCTGGTCATCTGTCAACACCTCAAGGATCACAGCCCTTGACTCACATGACCAGCATTTCTCATGTCAAATGCAAGTCTTGGAATGATCTTTGTCAACAATTTGAGCATAGTTGCAAGCTGAAGGCTTAGGGTAGAACATCATATTCCAAGGGTAGGTGTATGACCTCCCAAGCAAGATGTGAACATCTGCAGCATGTTTGGAGAAACAGTTCATCGAGGTCTGTATCACTCAGGATATACAATTGCAAGATATTTGCTGGTGCTTGCAAAAGCCATGGCCTTTTTCAAATTCTTGGCAAAAGCCAGACAGCTTTCTACATCAGTTGCCATTGCTGTAGGCCTTCAAAAGGACAGGGGCCAAAAAGGTAGTAGCAGTCTGACCGGAACTCATAGAGTCCAAATAGAATCCACAGAGGTCCCACAGTGTCCCACCTGGATCGTCAGGCACAAACAAAACTGCACAGCAAACATGTCAGGTTTAGCGATCAACAGCTTGTGTTTGCTCTCTCAAACCTGATGAATATCCTGAACACCCTGAAGACACTTGCTGTGGACTTTGTGCCCGGGCCACAATTCTTTCAATTCTCTCTTCTGACACATTCTGACCATGTTAAACTGTTATATTATATATATAATCCGCTGTGGAAATTAGGAACTGCTCCTGCTATCCTCGACTTGCTGAACAGATCTCAAAAGACTATGGAACGTCCACTCGCCGTCAGTTCAACGCAAGTGCCTTCTATGTCAGGTAGGGGGTTACAGCAAACCATGCAGCAGCATTATTCCCAACAATACGAGAATAAACGACAACGTTCCCTTGCAAAGATCGCCGTTTTCAGACGTTCAGAAGGAATCCGCGGATCTATGGTACAAGTGCAATGGTGCAATTCGGCAGTGCAGCTTTGAGCGTTGCGCTCAAGCTATCTAGTCGTAGGACTCTCCTTTCCTAGCAGGATCTGGTTTTACCTCCATGGAACGGATGATGCATAGTGTCCAAAAAGAATGCTACCGGGGCGTATGACCCATGGCTGGCCAAAGTCACGCTGTGAGAACAAGCACGTCCAGTGACCAAGCTTGACAGCTTCATTGATTTCAGCGTTTTGAATGACACCGAATCCCAATGAAGACGGTCTGGATTGAAGTCGCAACAGCCTTGGAGTAGGGATACCTAGCACATGGACATGCAAGGTTGATTTATTCTAGGAGTCTAGCACAAGAGATGTAGACACCAAATCCCAGGACAATCTCACATTTTGCTATGATGGGGGTTCTGCACTCTCTCTCTCTTGGCAAACACTGTGCTGCTGTCTGAAAAGAGTCTCCACCCCAACCTCTGCACAGGCAGCTTTGGAATCCTTTGATGTCACTTGCCTCAGTGTGCGAAAACTTCTCAAATCTTGACAGTCGGACAAACCAATGCTGCTGTGAAAGAGTCTGAAGGCTACTTTCAAGAGAAGACTGATGCACCATGTTGACTCTTTGCATCAGAAATCAGGGGTCGATTTTCCTCAGTGTAGCCTTCGTCTCTGCTAATCTACAGAGACGAGCATTTCAAGTCAACTTGGCATCTGGCTCGAAACCACGGAATGCTTCACAAAAACCAGTCCTGTAAGGCTAGCTGGCACAAATCTGAGCTGGAGTCTGAATTTGGTATGAATGGGCGTCAAACCTTGACAAAGCCTTTTTTGTGGCACGGGTCAAAATGTTCTACCAGTTGCATCCATTTGCATTGAACGGTGTAAAGTATGGCCATATTGCGAGCAAAAGGCCTATATTCAGCCTAGGTAGCTCCTTGTTGGGATCCTGTTTTGCACCATATTAGTGCTAATTATTTTGAGCCTATATGGCCCATGTTGCGGCACTACAAATAAATAGAGCAGGCATGTGCAACGTTTAGGGAATGTCCCTGTTGCTGCGGAACACAGACTCTTTGGTCGCACTCTCGCAATCTCTTCTGATACGCCAGAAAATTCACTGCCAATAACCAAATGCCCATTTCCGATCTCCGTGGGGCTGATGAGGAGCAACTGGCTGCGAGAATTGATTTTCAGCAACATAGAGGCAAACTCCAAGTTGCTTCAACTCTTGGATTGCTTTGGACAAAGGCCGTGCAACATGGAAACTCATTCGATAGAACCAGCCCATTGATACTCTGCAAGCGCGGCCGTTCAGGCAGCTCCATGCTCCAGGCGACACAATGACAGAGTTGACGCCCAAATGATATGCAGTGCGCAGCACTTGCCCCACGTTGCTTGCAGAATTCAAGCCGTCCAACACAACAAAGGGTGGTACCATCTCGGCTATAGGAATGCTGCAGGCAAATGCAACAAGAAATCTGCAGCCATCAAACCGGCGAAACAACGAGCATCTTTGCTGTCCATGAAGTCGGTCGGAATCCATGGGACATCTTGCCGAAACTCTGCCAAGATTTCTGGATCAGAAAGATAGAGCGTAGGAGCCAAAGCTGATGCAATGGAACGAAGTTCTGCTGGAGCCCCAAGCCTCAAAGAAAATTAGGCAGAAACATCGAAAGACAAATCAAGCATTCCAACCGCAACCTATTCAAAACTGGGATTGGTTCTGCATGAGAAAATGCCCCGAACCCAGTGATTATGAACTAGTGACTAGTATCTTCAGCAATGCAAGGGTCAAGAGTCGATATGAAAGTTCTTGGGCGAAAATAATTTAGGGACGTCGCCTGCGCACTCTGAATTTCAAAACTGCATCATCCTTTCAAAGCCAAGAGGCTGTGGCAGGAGAACTGAGTCGACATGAATCCTGAAGCCTGCCTGCAGGGCATCATGAAGCTGGCGAAGGCAGTCTTTGCTGTAAGTGCACCTTGCAGCAAGCAGAGTCAACACGAACCAAGAGAGTTTTCTTTGCCAAAAGAAGTGCAAGTTCAAAAGCGCCATGCTCTAATGTCCTTGCAAGAGACTCATAGAATCTCATTGACCTTGCTCTCAATTCTTCGCACTTCATGCAGTCACAGCACATCGAGAATACAGTACAGCTTGTTCAGGGGCTTGAAACGGTTTCGCCTTCCTCCCTCCTACAGCATGAATGCAGCCCCAGCCTTTCCGAATACCCCTCAAACCATGCTCAAACTTTCAAGACACATAACTTTTGGCACCTCAAAAGCTTGGTTTTTTTGTATGATGGAGGGATCTTGTTTGATCCGGGTTACAATTGTTCATATGGCCAGTACCGCCAACAGCTTTCTGCTGGCAGTCTTCCACTGTTTGTACGGTCCTGCTCATCCTGCGGGATTGGTAGACCTACTCATCTTCATGACCATTCCATTTCTGCAGCAACCTTGCCATCCTCAGATTCCGTTGTTGCTTTCCAAAGCTACCTGCAACCTGTCCATGAATGCAAAACAAATAAACCTTCACAAAACTTTCAAAGTATGAAATTCCGTCTGCGGAAAAGGGGCGCAGGTATTCTGGATTTCTGCACTGGTATCCTGAGCCAAGAGACCGTGCAACTCGTAGACAATGCGTATATACCCATACATATATTGTGCATATGTAGCATCATATGCATGTATATACCTGGACGTATGCATGGATATGATCTGCTTATATAGATGTGAGAGAATCGATTCATGGAGACACTGTCTGATCTATGTAATGAGTCTCGCACTCAACACCAGCACCCCCTTCCCACAGCACTCGCATGAAGCCTTCAAACCTGAGTTCGGATAGACATGCCGAAAGTGTAACAATTGCTGTCCTCGCAAATATTTTTTTGACTCGTTGCATTTTCACAACATGTTCAGGTTCCACACGACGACGAATCCAAAGCCGTGCAAATTAGCTCTCCGGTATGGACTTCAATTTTCACCATTTTTGTTGTTTGCTCTGCTTGGAATTCAAACCATCCCTCAGCTGTAAACTGCCGATTGCAAGCTTTCAGAAGAGCAGTCTCCCCCTGGCCGCCAGTGAAACTTGTCGGTGTCGCAAATTAAAGGACCGGATAACCCCACATGTCAACTTCTTCCAATAAGCAGCAAAAAGGTAAAGATGGGGTGGGAGATGCAGGAAAGAGAAAAGAGATGGTGAAGGATCGGCGTGTGCAACAAATGTATGTCGAAGGGAGGTGCGTGAAAGGAGTGTATGCAATCGTGCGTAAAAGTGGGGTGTATGTGTGTGTGTGATAGAATCGTGCGTGAAAGTGCGTATGTATGTGTATGCATGTGTGTATGTGTGCGTTGTGTGGCCACCTAAATGCAGGCGTTATGTGTGCATGTGTATGTGTGGGTGTGCATGTGTATGTGTGCGTGTGTATGTGTATGAACTGCCGAAGCAGAAAAGAATCAAGCAGTGGCACGACAAACGCAAACGTGCAAGCAGCAGCAGCCGGCCACCTCAGTAGCCAATTTTTCCATTAAGTAGCCAAAGAAAGGTGAAACTGGGATGGGACAAGGATTTTGCGTACAAGTATTGCATGGGAAAGTGTGTGTCCAAGAAGTATGTGTGTAGGTATGTATGTACATACGTACGTCCTGACGTACGCACGTATGTGCATGTGCATGCATGCATGCATGCATGTATGTACGTATGTATGCATGTCTGTGTGTATGTATGTATGTATGTAGGTAGGTAGGTACGAACGTACGTACGTACGTACATATGTATATATGTATGTATGTATGTATGGATGGATGTATGTATGTATGTATGTATGCATGTATCAATGTATCTCTGTATCTATGTATTTAGGCATCTATGTATCTATGTATCTATGTATGTATGTTTGTATGTATGAATGTATGAATGTATGAATGTATGAATGTATGAATGTATGAATGTATGTAGCCAAGACCGGCATGCCAACACAATGAGCTTAGGTGAATGGCAGTGGCCGGTCTTGGCAGCATGTGTAATGCGGTCTGCTGCGGTGCTGGCGAATGTAGAAGGTTGGCGAACGAGCTGCGCAGAGGTACCTGGCAGGTCAGGCAAGTCAGACAGCAACAACACGCCTGAACAACCAAATTGTGCAGTGAATCATGAGTCGTTGGTGAGCTGGCGAAGCAAGAGTTTCCGGCGCGGCAATCAAAATCAATGGCAGCTTCAGCAGACACATCAAAACATGTTCAACAGACGTGCCGCTCGAGAACATATTCCATACCTGTGCACATCTCCAGAAGAGCACATGCAATGTCATGTGATGTGGTTAGAGGCTTTTTCCCCACAACTTTGTGTGGGGTTCTTGTTTTTGATTCTGTATCCCGGGCTCCTTCTCCTCCTCCTCCTCCCGCCGCCTCCCTCACTTTCACACACACACAAACTTAACATACAATAACTTCACACACAAACTTAACATACAATAATTTCACATACACAAACTTAACATACAATAATTTCACATACAATACTGTAAAAAAAATAAACATACAATAACTTCACACACACAAACTTAACATACAATAATTTCACACTAACTTCACACACACAAACTTAACGTACAATAATTTCACATACAATACTTCCCCACACACACACTCAAACACACACACACAACTTTGTCACATAGCATCTCTCACATACAATAACTTCACACACACAAACTTAACTTAACATACAATAATTTCACATACAATACTTTCGCACACACAACTTTCACACACACAAACTTAACATACAATAACTTCACACACACACACACTCACACAAACACACACAAACTTAACATACAATCATCTATACTCGTTTTGCGTGGCAGGCGTGGCACTTGGTGACATCCACCTTGATTTCATGTGGCAGGCATCGCACAATCGCACATTGATGATCGTTTTGCGTGGCAGGCGCCTCACTCATGGTAGTGGGTGGCGCGGCACTGTGCGTGGCAGGCATGGCACAATCGCACATCCGTGGCACAATCGCACATCCATGGTCGTTTTGCGTGGCAGGCGGCAGGCGCCTCACTCATGGCACTGGGTGGCGCCCTTGGGCCCGGTTTAGGCGCGCCCTGGTCGCGCGTGACGCCGCGGCACTGTGCGTGGCAGGCGTGGCACTCGGTGACATTCACTTTCGTTTCGCGACTTCTGCGTGGCAGGCGGGGCACTTGGTGACATCCACCTTGATTTCACGTGGCAGGCGTGGCACAATCGCACATCCATGGTCGTTTTGCGTGGCAGGCGCCTCACTCATGGCACTGGGTGGCGCCCTTGGGCCCGGTTTAGGCGCGCCCTGGTCGCGCGTGACGCCGCGGCACTGTGCGTGGCAGGCGTGGCACAATCGCACATCCATGGTCGTTTTGCGTGGCAGGCGCCTCACTCATGGCACTGGGTGGCGCCCTTGGGCCCGGTTTAGGCGCGCCCTGGTCGCGCGTGACGCCGCGGCACTGTGCGTGGCAGGCGTGGCACAATCGCACATCCATGGTCGTTTTGCGTGGCAGGCGCCTCACTCATGCCACTGGGTGCGTGGCAGGCGTGGCACTCGGTGACATTCGCTTTCGTTTCGCGACTTCTGCGTGGCAGGCGTGGCACTTGGTGACATCCACCTTGATTTCACGTGGCAGGCGTGGCAGAATCGCACATCCATGGTCGTTTTGCGTGGCAGGCGCCTCACTCATGGCACTGGGTGGCGCCCTTGGGCCCGGTTTAGGCGCGCCCTGGTCGCGCGTGACGCCGCGGCACTGTGCGTGGCAGGCGTGGCACAATCGCACATCTATGGTCGTTTTGCGTGGCAGGCGCCTCACTCATGGCACTGGGTGGCGCCCTTGGGCCTGGTTTAGGCGCGCCCTGGTCGGATTCGTGGCTGTAGGAAAGGCGTGGTTGTCACGTAGCACATCTCGTTGCGCCGCATGGAGCGCAGAAGATCATGGAACACCTCATCCAGCCGATTCCAGGTCCGCAGTGCTGCCGCATGCAGAGCAGCTGACATTGCAGCGCTGGCGAAAAAAATGGTCTGCACTGTCGCGCACACACATCATCTTTCACACGCAGCATCTTTCACACGCAACTTTGTCACACACATGCAACTACATACATACGTACGTACGTACGTACGTACATACATACATACCTACCGTTTTACCTTCTCGATCTTTCACCACCTCCTTTGTCTTTCCTTCCTTCCCTGTCCCCGCTAAACCAATTGAAGCTCATTATTGGAAGAAGTTGACTTGTGGGGTTATCCGGTCCTTCAATTTTCTTCGTCGTCGATCGCAGTATCAAAATTGCCTCACTTGCACCGCAAACCTGGCAGCAGCGACGAGAGATTTTCGCACGCATGTCGTCCAGATCTCCCTGCAAAGCTGCTTTCCAAAATGTTTCATCCGCGCTTGAGTATAAAAATAAAGGTATCACCAACATCGATCCCACAATCCTGATTTGATGTCTGGCTGCCACCCCCGAACGCAATGAAAGGTGCCCGCAACCAATCCGCTGGCCTCACGCATGTGGATGGCCTTCCCACTGTTGGAGGCGGCGGCATGTGCGTGATGAAGACGGAAAGGTACCTGGCAAAATGAAAGATCGAGGGAAACAAGCAGAAACGCAAAGATCATCGTCAACACTTTCAAACATGCTGTTGTCCGTGTCTAACGAAGCAAAAAAAGACATCCGCAACAGATGAAGTTTACGCCCCAACAAATAACGCTAGGCCATCTCAGCACCTCCACATGCGCGATGAAGTCGGTACCTGGCAGAACACAAACAAAACAGCTGCTAGTCATTCCTGAAAAAAACAGCGACACTATCATTATGACTGTCAGTTTCAAAATTACAGAAGGATAACAGACATATGAGCACAGTCAACCGCAGCAGTACGATCAAAAATCACGACATAGCAGAGTGCCGGACCTGCCAAGCGACTACGGCAAGTGCACAAACACGATGGACAGGTACCTGGCAGCAACATGTCATCACAAAACATGGAAGAAGAAAAACAGAAAGACAGAAAAGACAAGGCCTAACGACGTCGCATTCAGAGGCTCGAGCAGCATTGCTGCCTATTTTTCGTTGTTGCAAGAATGTCCTACCGGAAGCTCGATAGAGATTCTATCCTTCGGCGATCAGATCTCTTTTTCTTCGTCGCCGAACGCGGTATCAAAGTTGACTCGCTTGCACCGTATGCCTGGTAGCAGCGACGGGAAATTTTCGCACGGCGCATCAATCTAGTCGCGTACGCCACGGACTTTGATCTACTTGGAAGATCATGTCGCTTACTAAGGTTTAAACAGTGATCTAACCACAGGTTGCTCGAAACCGGCTGTTCCCAATGGTCGCTGCGAATTCTACAATGCTGCGAGTTCCAAAGACATCCAATCCATGCTGCTCAGCCAGAAAGGCCATAGGTGCCACCCAAGTGAAGGTCGATGTCAACAAGTGCCACATCTGCCACGCAAAGTGACGGTCGATGTCGCCAAGTGCCATGCCTGCCACGCAAACAGCCGCGGCGACCAAAGTACCCAAGCGCGCCACCAGAGCCAGTCCAGTGCCATAAGCGCCACGCCTGCCACGCAGAATGCACGTCGATTCGGCAAGGTGCCACGCCTACCACACAAAGTGACGGTCGATAATGTCGCCAAGTGCCACGCTGCCATGTAAAGTGAAAGTCACCAAGTGCCACACGTGCCACTCAAAGCCAAGTGCCACGCCTGGCGCGCAAACAGTCGCGGCGACCAAGGTACCCAAGCGCGCCGCCAGAGCCAGTCCAGTGCCATAAGTGCCACGCCTGCCACGCAGAATGCACGTTGATGTCGCCAAGTGCCAGGCCTGCCACGCAAAGTAACGGTCGATGTCACCAAGCGCCACACCTGCCACGCAAAGTGACGGTCGGATGTCGCCAAGTGCCACGCCTGGCACGCAAACAGCCGCGGCGACCAAAGTACCCAAGCGCGCCACCAGAGCCAGTCCAGTGCCATACGTGCCACGCCCGCCACGCAGAATGCACGTCGGTTCGGCAAGGTGCCATGCCTGGCATGCAAACAGCCGCGGCGACCAAAGTACCCAAGCGCGCCACCAGAGCCAGTCCAGTGCCATATATAAGCGCCACGCGTGCCACGCAGAATGCACGTCGATGTCGCCAAGTGCCAAGCCTGCCCCGCAAAGTGACGGTCGATGTCACCAAGCCACGCCTGGCACGCAAACAGCTGCGGCGACCAAAGTACCCAAGCGTGCCGCCAGAGCCAGTCCAGTGCCACAAGTGCCACGTCTGCCACGCAAAGTGAAGGTCGATGTCAACAAGTGCCACACCTGCCACGCAAAGTATCGGTCGATGTCGCCAAGTGCCACGCCTGCCACGCAAACAGCCGCAGCGACCAAAGTACCCAAGCGCGCCGCCAGTCCAGTGCCATAAGCGCCACGCCTGCCACGCAGAATGCAGGTCGATGTCGCCACGCCTGGCGTCGATGTCGCCAAGTGCCACGCCTGGCACGCAAACAGCCGCCACCAGAGCCAGTCCAGTGCCATTGCCACGCAGAATGCACGTCGATGTCGCCAAGTGCCACGCCTGCCACGCAAATGCGGTCTCTGTCACCAAGTGCCACGCCTGGCACGCAAACAGCGTCCAGTGCCATAAGTGCCACTTGACGCAAAGTGAAGGTCAATGTCACCAAGTGCCACACCTGCCACGCAAAGTGACGGTCGATGCCGCCAAGTCCCACGCTTGCCACGCAAACAGCCGCGGTGACCAAAGTACCCAAGCCGCCACCAAAGCCAGTCCAGTGCCATAAGTGCCACGGCTGCCACGCAAAGTGGAGGTCGATGTCGCCAAGCGCCACGCCTGCCACGCAAAGAGCTGCGGCGCCATAAGTGCCACGCCTGCGACGCAATTTGAAGGCAGATGTCGCCAACTTGTGTGTGTGTGCGTGAGTAAGTTGTGTGTGTGTGTAAGTCGGGTGTGGACAAGTTGTGTGTGAGCAAGTTGTGTGGTGACAAGTTGTGTGTGGACAAGTTGTGTGTGTGTGTGAGTAAGTTGTGTGTTGACAAGTTGTGTGTGGATAAGTTGTGTGGTGACAAGTTGTGTGCGTGGACAAGTTGTGTGGTGACAAGTTGTGTGTGAGCAAGTTGTGTGAGTAAGTTGTTTGTGGACAAGTTGTGTGTGAGCAAGTTGTGTGTGAGTAAGTGGGGTGTGGGCAAGTGGGGTGTGGACAAGTTGTGTGTGTGTGAGCAAGTTGTGTGTGGACAAGTTGTGTGTGTGAGCAAGTTGTGTGTGGACAAGTTGTGTGTGAGCAAGTTGTGTGGTGACAAGTTGTGTGTGGACAAGTTGTGCGTGTGAGTAAGTTGTGTGGTGACAAGTTGTGTGTGTGGAGAAGTTGTGTGGGAGTAAGTGGTGTGTGGATAAGTTGTGTGGTGACAAGTTGTGTGTGTGTGTGTGGACAAGTTGTGTGGTGACAAGTTGTGCGTGTGTGAGCAAGTTGTGTGTGAGTAAGCTGTGTGTGGACAAGTTGTGTGTGAGCAAGTTGTGTGTGTGAGTAAGTTGTGTGTGGACAAGTTGTGTGCGAGCAAGTGGTGTGTGAGCAAGTTGTGTGCGAGCAAGTTGTGTAGTGACAAGTTGTGTGTGCACAAGTTGTGTGTGGACAAGTTGTGGGCGGCGGGGCGGGCGGGCAGCCGGGCAGCCGGGCGGGCGGGGCGGAAGTGCACAACCAAAAACAAGAACCCCACACAAAGATGTGGGGAAAAACTGGTTGATTTGTTTGGTTTCAGACCAAAGTTTGTCTCTTCGCTACCGGCCATGCAGACTGAGAAGGCAGCTCGTTCATCTTCAGCATTTGGGTCCGCTCTGCCTGTGAGGAAGGACAGCGATGCGAAGCCCAGCTAGGCAAGGATAGTGTTTGAGATAGACCAGATTCAATGCACGTCATGCACGTCTGGGGCTTAGGCATTGCAGTAGCCACCTCGGCGAGCTGTTGGTTGAATCATGTCCAATTTTTTCGCAAGAATCACATTGAAAAAGACATGCAGTTGTATTGCAGCCAGATTCCGAAACGGTCTGAGACGCCAACCAAGCCACATCGTCCAGGCCACGCTCTGCCGCATACATCAGGACAGTTCTTCCTGCCTGGCCCCGTACCTGGTTTAAAAAGCACCGACTGCTGCTCAAAAGACTAATTTGAATTTGAACACATACCTTTTTTATATGTTTGCATACTATGACCAGTAGTACCGCACAAGGCGGTGGTGGAAGTTCCAAAGATAGGAAACCTACAGGAGAGGTTGGTTGTTGTGAATCCTGGATGGCAGAGCGAACCCACTGATGGATCAAAAGATGGGTGGGGTGTCGTATGTATCTGTCTATCTATCTGTCTTTCTACCTATCTGTCCATCTATTTATCTGTCCATCTATATGTATGTCTGTCTGTCTGTCTGTCTGTCTATCGATATATCTGTCTATCTGACTGTCGATCTGTCTATCTATCTATCTATCTGTCTATCTGTCTGTCTATCTATCTGCATCTATCTCTCCATCTGTCTATCGGTCTATCTATCTGTCTGTCTGCCTATACATCTATCTACCTATCTGTCTATCTATCTATCTATCGGTTTTTCTATCTATGTATCTACCTGTCTATCTATGTATCTATCTATCTATCTATCTATCTGTCTACTTGGCAACATCAAAAATGCAGCAATTCTGCTGGACTTCCTTCAAAAGTGGAAGTTGTGTGCTGAGCTGACAGCCTCGTACCAATGCGTTTTGCGATTTTTCCATCCCATCTCTCTAAAGTACTGCGCCTGCCACTAAAACGTGACGCCAGGTCATAGAAAGCGCTGCACCCGTCACGCAAAATCATCTTAGCAAACCTGAAGATCTGATGCTCCAAAATGCAACCCCGTGCAGGAAATCAGCATCCTGACCTCCTAACCTCTCTGATGGAAATATCTCTACTACGGAATTCATCTTTGCAGATCCTCTTCAAACGTCCCACGCCTGCCATCGTGTTTGCAAAAGCCACGAAACCCTCACGTTTTGCTCATTTTGGGCAAGTTGCAGAATCCATTGTGCCTGCCATGCGAAACCACATCCAACGTCAAAAACTGACTTCCAAATCTGCTTCGCGCCACAGCAGCGTCAACATCTCAAGTTCCAAACATGGTCCGAACGTGTGGTACTTTTACTATTTTGACTTGAAAACGTGCTTCGCGCCACAACCGCATGCACTTTTTGAACATCTCAACTTCCAAAAGTGCTCCGAGGCTGAAGTGTTTTTTCCCCTTTTGACTTCGAAGTGTACTTCGCGCCACAGCCGCGTGCACTTTTTTCAACAGCTCAACGCCCACAAGTGCTCCGAAGCTGACCATGTTCAACATTTTGACTTGGAAATGTGCTTCGCGCCACAGCCGCGCGCACGAGCTCAACTTCCAAAAGTGCCCCGAAAATGAAGTCTTTTTACATTTTGACTGCTTTGGCCACAGCAGCGTGTAATTTTTCATCTCTCATCTGACCAGATGGGTCCGCGCCCGCCGCTTTAGCGAGCCTACTTTTGGACCCTCCGGAGCCACAAAACATTGGACAAACACAGTGTTTGGCGACGTTTCTACCTTTTCGCGCACCTGCATCTTCTTTCTTCTGACTCTTTCTCTTCTCTGATCTTCTTCCTTCTCACTTTCTCTTCTCTGACTCTTCCCACCTCTGCTTTTCCATCTGTCCATATTGTCTGAAGTTTGACTTCCAAATTTCCTTTGACTATTCCGTGGGTATACCTTTGCGAACTTGTCTCGAACAAGAGAATGTTACGTCATCATAAATGTCTCTTGGTGTCTCGCCACAAGCGAGGGAGGACTCAGCGGATGGATTGCACCAATCAGAACATCACAGAATGGTCAGAACTCTGAATTCTGAAGGTCAGAATACAACCCGGCCAGGTCTCTCTGAATGTCTTGCGTCAGTCAACGCTCGACTAGATTTGACACATCGTGGCACTCTACTGTTGAGACAGGTCTCAAGCGACGACTCTGCCTCCAAGTTTGCACCATGTCGAGCGAGATGAATCAGAGTATCCCACCTGAAGGTGAGACAAAATGGCGCATAGATTTAAGAGACACTTGAGAGACAGATACGACGGATGGTCCGTCTGCCTGAGCAAATATTCACAAATGTGCGCAGCGTCAGCTTTTTGCACAGGACCTGGAATAAAACATATTGCTTGGAGTTTCCTCGCCAATGTCTATATTTGACCTATACTTGCGGCTGTGAGAGCCTAAGCCATGTCCCCCTTAGTAGAGAATAAGGAGAGTATTCAATGAAGACTTACTGTGGTCAAGCCATCCTTTAAGTGCTTTTCAATCTTCAAGAGATTCGGTCACTGCTGCTTCAGGTTGGGCGTTGCATGCGTCCATTTGTGCCACCAAACAAAGATATAGAAAAGAAACACGAGCAAACAACGAACCCGAATGCAGCCACGTAAAACACTTTTGTGCAACAAGTTCTTTCAACAGTTTTGTACATTCTTCCCCTGTTACCGTACCAGTAAAGACTGTGGAGTGTGGAATGGGGTGGAGTGCAGAGTGTGGGGTGTAAAGACAGTGGCGTGTTGAGGGCGGAATGTGGCGTAGGGTATGAAGTGGGGATTGTGGAGTGTGAAGTGTCGAATGCAAAGTGAAATATGCGGAGTGTAAAGTGCAAAGTGTAAAGTGTGTGGAGTGTAGAGTGCGGAGTGCCAAGTGTAGAGTGCAGAGTGCAGAGTGTCAAGTGTAACATGTAGTGTGTGGAGAGTAAAGTTTACAGTATAGAGTATAGAGTATGGAGTGTAAAGTGCAAAGTGTAGAGAGTCAAGTGTAAAGTGCAGCGTGTGGAGTGTCAAGCATTAAAGTGCAGAGTGCGGACATGGAGTCTCAAGTGTAAAGTGTAGAGTGTCGAGTGTACAGTGTAAAGTGTGGAGTGTAAAGTGTCAAGTGTGGAGTGTAAAGTGCAGAGTGTGGAGCGCAAAGTGAAAAGCGTAGAGTGTAGAGTCTGGAGTGTAGAGTTCAGAGTTTGGGGTGTAAAGTGTAACGTGTAGAGTGTGGAGTGTAAAGTGTAGAGTGCGCAGTGTCAAGCGTAAAGCATAGAGTGTGGAGTGTCAAGTATAAAGTGTAGAGTGTGAAGTGTAGAGTGTAGGGTGTAAAGTGTAGAGTGTCGAGTGTGGGGTGTCAAGTGTAAAGTGTGAAATGTAAAGTGTCAAGTGTGGAGTGTGGAGTGTAAAGTGTTGAGCGTCGAGTGTAAAGCCGTTAAGTGGTGAGTGTGAAGTGTAAAGTGTTGAGTTTAGAGAGTAAAGTGTAGTGTGTGGAGTGTAAAGTGTAAAGTGTAAAGTCTGGAGAGTAAACTAGTAGAGTGTGGAGTGTAGAGTGTGGAGTGTAAAGTGTAGAGTGTATTGTGCAGACTGCAAAGTGTAAAGTGTAGAGTGTCCCAAATACTGCACCTGCCACGCAAAATGACATTCCACACACGACGGATTTGTACTAAATGCTGCGCCTGCAACGCAAAAAGGACACCGTTCACGATATCCCGCGTCCGCCGCACAATTTGCACACGTTGTCACCACTTGACGCAGCCCCGGCATGCGATTCGCAAAAACACGCAACACCACATGTCTAAAGTGCTGCACCTGCCACGCAAAATTAATGGACATCTCCAAAGTGCTGCGCCTGCCGCGAAAAATCGAAGTCATCTTCTGGAAGCGATGCAAAAGTATCTCGCCTGTCACACAGAACGACTTTTGACACATTATTGCACACGTCGGGATGTCACGAAGTGCCAAACCTGCCACACGAAATGACGTCACGCGACGCTTGAAACCTCTAAAAGTGGCCAGTTTTGCAGTGCTCCCCATAGGCACGGCCATAGGGACCTCATGGCGAACGGTTGCGGACGGCTGCGAACGGTTGCCAAGGGTTGCGGCCGGCTGCGAACGGTTCAAACGGTTGCGGACGATTGCGGACGTGAAAGCAGCGTCAAGCGAACACGTCCCAACCCCCTGACCCCCAAAGTAAAACGAGAATCCTTCGCTACGCATTCGGAAAACATACATATACGTGTGCGTGTGTGTGTGTGCGTATTAGAATCACATCAGTCACATCAGTTACATCGCAGTGCGGTGGATGCCTGGGACTGCACAACGTTGCGCAACACTGGGTTACATTACGTTGCTCTGCATGGCATCGTATTAGGCTGCAGAAGAAAACAAACTGAAATCTGTTAGTTGCATTCTAATATGTGCATTACATGCACTGCATACAAACACATATTCAAGTATAATTTGTAATCCACATTAAATAACAGTATAGCTTAATCTGCTCACTGGATTGCACGTAAAACGGATGAGGCGCAGTAGAATACTTAAGAGGATATAATGCAGTAGACAATAAATACTCAGTGCAAAAGTGATATCCGCCGACCCCGGCTGACAGCAAGGGGGAGCGCGACAGGGAACAAGAGTTTCCTCTTTGAAACAACAACAACAACAACAGGCGGCTGTTCTTTTTGGTTTTCTGTCTTGAATTTGGACACGTTTTGGGCACGAAATTAGGTCGTGATTTGGACTCGCGGAACTGGTGTTTCGGAAGCATATGCAGAAGATGACATTAGGTATTGCCAGCTGAAGGCCTCAGCGTGCCAAACGCCTCCTTTCTGGCAATTCAGAAGCGACGTTAAGCACTCAGCAGCAGCAACAGCAGCAGCAGCAGCAGTTGTTCGCAGGGTTTCCAAATAACCACCAAGCAGCTGCGAGGAAGTGTTACCCTTTTTGCATTGCATCTGTGGCTCTATTCTACGGATTTCAGACGATACGTTAGGGAAGTTTTGGGCGTGGTGTTGGCGACTTTTTGGTGAGGGTGTAGCTTGTTAGAAGGACTTCAGACCACACGCGCCACATGTTAGGGAGTTTTTGGTCACTTGTTTCTGATCCATCCGTCCTTCACTGCCATGGTGTTTCCCTGTCCGGCACCCATGTTTTTGCCAGCGGACCGAAAACCGACCTCGTAAAACGCACGTTTTTGCTAGCGTGTGTCGCAGGTCAATGAAGGGGGGGGTGGGTGGGGGGGGGGGCAGTTACGTTTTCTTGTACTTCTTCCACGACATGTGCTACGCTGCACAGATGTCTGGTATGTTGCTTCGCTGTATACATGAAGGGGGGTGGGGTGGGTGGGGGGGCATGTTAACGTTCCTTGCTTCTTGATTTGTAATGATTTCTCATCTTTGTATATAAAGGAGCTAGTTCCGCCACGTGAGACCGCATCACACTTGTGGCTTGAGAGCTTAAAACCCCCGTGTCATGCTAGTCTGGTAGGGTCCCTCTTTGGTCCGGGGGGAGTCAAAAGGAGCTGCACTCTGCGAATCTGGGTGTTTTCCTTTGATGGGCTTAGTTTTGTTGTCTACACTGCCTGCAATTTCTAGGACGGTTCCAAACAAATCCCTACAAAACCCAAACACGTTCAATTGACATCCAATCAAATTCCAAGAAACATCAAAACAATTTCCAGTAAAATTCCACGCGAAATCCAGGACAATTTCACAAATTCCGGGACAAATCCACACAAGTTCCCCAAAAGAAAACACACTATATATTTTCAAGGTAACACATTCGAGGACAATTCCAAACCCAGTAAAATCTAGATCAATTCCGAAGAAAAATTACAGCAACATGATGCAAGATGCAATGTTCTGGTGGCCTGGATAAATTTCAACCGCCAAGAATTTAAGTGGGTTTTGTATGGTTTTGTCAGGGCTGATTGCTTGCATAAGAATCGTAAGGTTTGAAGGGGACTGTCATAAAGGGTTCGTAACAAAGCAGTACAAGAAAAGACTGTCTGAGAGCTTGAGCACGCCAAAAGCAAACCGTGAAGCTGAGGATGCTGCTGCGATGTCTCTGCCAAACGAACAATCACGGGTTTGGGCGACTGTTTAGCATCTGAAGATTCCACAGCCTAATACATCGCAGATGATCATGTTGAGCATCGTGGTTGCATCTGAATAGGTTTCAGCATCGTGGAATGATTTGTGCGCAAACCAGCGTGGAATGATTTGTGCAAACATGCAAATCAGGAGCATCAAGATTGGCACGAGCTTCAGCAAGCCGGCGCCTCAATTACAATTCACTCTCCCAAGTTTGCAACAACGTTCTGATCTGATTGCAACGCTAGATGACAACTAAGGTCCAACACAACCATCCAGCTTTGCTGACGCGCTGCGGCAATCAGGGCTGTTAGCCCTTTGTTGCAGCGGGTTTCCATCCTTCCGCAATGCAATGAGTCAAATTATATAAATGAAAATATCTCATGTCATACTTGCCCCGGAAACTGCAGATCCATTTCTTCGCAAAGACCAACATGAAATCTCTAGCACATGCTGATGGTACTCATAAACAAGTCGTATAGCAAAGTGCTCAAGGAACGTAGAACATCCAATCTCCAAGGAGCTGCACCTGGCTCTGCATTCGATGAGGCTGGAAACTGCTTTGGCATTTCCTGGAGGGCAAGCGTTGCCACTTCTGTTTACCACTCTCCATATTTATGCTTGCGGAGGGCTGCCACCGAACCCGAGTGCTCTATGTATGTATATATATTGCTAAGCCCCTATTATGCTTAACTTACCCCCTGTTTGCTGGGCAGGGGGGGGGGCCTATGTAGTGGTGCAACTGGTGGTGCGTAGTCTGGACGATCCAAGTTCAAATTAAAAACCGAACATCATCCCCGTCGCAAACATTTTAATACTAATGGTCCCGAGACCCAACATATCCAGAAAAGCATTTGTTCCTCTCTGACGCCAATTGATGTCCTGGGTGTTGATTCTGATGCAAATAGTAACGAAATATGGCCATAATTTTATTGTGTTGTCAAAGCAAACACGTTTTCATTTGTCCAAAGATCGCATTTCCATGCGAAAATCACCATTCAGATTCACGCGGTCCCATTGCACTTTCCGATCTGGTTACAATATAGGTTCCGACGCGGCTCCGAGGCAGCTCCGACGGAACCGCGTCGGAACCGCGTCGGAACCGAGTCGGAACCGAGTCGGAACCGAGTCGGGACCGAGTCGGAACCGAGTCGGAAACGCGTCGGAACCGCGTCGGAACTGCGTCGGAACCGAGTCGGAACCGAGTCGGAACCGAGTCGGAACCGCGTGGGAACCGCGTCGGAACCGCGTCGGAACCGAGTCGGAACCGAGTCGGAACCGAGTCGGAGCCGAGTCGGAACCGAGTCGGAACCGAGTCGGAACCGAGTCGGAACCGCGTCAGAGTCGGAACCGAGTCGGAACTGAGTCGGAACCGCGTCGGGAACGTGTTGGCCCCAGAAGGGGCCTCTATAATGCTTAGTAAACCTATACACTACTTGTGCATGGGGCGGTGTCAAACAGGACGCGGGGCAAGTAATGACCGCAGCAAAGTCGCCCCATTAGTAACTGCAGATGTTTGGGCGGGCGAAGAAAACGAATCGGGCATTCCATCAGGCTCCCCGTTCCTGAGCCCCGAGAGCACCACCAAATGCCGACATAACACAGGCCACCTATTATAAGCATATATGGAGGCCCATTCTGGGGCCAACATCTTCCCGACTCGGTTCCGACTCGGTTAATTCCGACGCGGTTCCGACTCGGTTCCGACGCGGTTTCGACGCGCTTCCGACGCGCTTCCGACACGCTTCCGACACGCTTCCGACGCGCTTCCGACGCGAGCAAACCGAAGTGTGGAACGACAAGACCGTCTATAGACCAAACTTGGGGTATCTTTCAGCAAACGGGGTCCTACAAATTGGGAAACAGAGGCCAATCCAGCCGCGAAAGAGTTGCAGGAAACGTGCCCACACATAAACAGTGAGCGTTTCACCTTAAAAAAAAAGCTTTTGGAAGAGCAACTTCGGCACCGCTTCCTCAACCACAAAAATTGAATCCAATGCTCGGCATGGACCTTAACTTCACTTCTTCGACTTCCAAGAAAACGAGACACCCGTTAGAGCACCGGGGTTAACACCACTTCCTTCAAGACGAAAAATCAACTTATTTTTGGGTTACTTACTGGACACCAGCCCTAGCACCACCTCTGTCCCCACCAAAAGTGCCTCCGGGGGTACCCGGCCCTAAAACCAAAGTTAAGCATTACAGGTTCCTATCAATATATATATAGGATATATGTATAATGTATATATCAACATGTTCAGCTGACTAGCAGCTATGAGTCTACCAGAATCTTTGAGACTATAGTATGCAGAATGTCTCACAAGAATACCCGAAATATCTGAAAATGTCTCGCAATGGGATCACACTTCTTGTCTTTGTATATTTGCCGTGTGATGGCACCAACTGGCTCAAACGAATGCGCTGGATTGCTGCAGCAAAGGTTGTCAGTATATCCCGCAAAACCAGCCAAACTTCACATAGCTGGCATGGAGGCTGATACAAACGTGTGAGAGACCAAGAAATCAATTGAACACAGCAGGGAACACCTATACATACTGCGGGACCCCATCAAACATCTTGACTCAGGACATATGACGAGATTCTTACAAGTCCAAGGAAAATAAATAGATGGCACGACTGAACAGGAATAGGGCAAATCTCGGATTCGTGCAAGGGAGAGACCTTGACTTGCTGCCATGATGAGTGCAGTTTGCCCTTCGCACGGTTCGCAGACTTCTGGGTTTGCACCTCAGTTCGAACATCTACATGCACTGCGAACCTTGCCATTGGCTGCCTCAAACAGTTCCAGCAAAATATTGATGCAAAACATTGATGGATTCAAAGCAATGCTTTGGCTTACCGAGCTCCAATAGAAGATGGAAGGCAGGCCACCTCCAGAAGACACTTGGCTGCCAACAATTGGCAAATTGTGGCTTGTGGCATACTTACAAGACTGTGCCAGTATGCAACGTCGGAGCAGGTCTGCTTGATTCCCAGAGTCCAACTGCACTGCTTAAGTTTCAAGCACTGGGCCGCTGGTTGAGCCATTTGAAGCATTTGAAGTTGAATCGGCCAGAAACACAACATTCCAAAGCGAACGTGCCTTTTCAACTTTGCTGCGATTAGCAAAGGGGCCAGGCCTTACATAATTGAGGAAACATAAGCAGAGGATAGGAAGAAAAGAAGGGAAGACAGGAAAGAAGAGCATGAGAAAGGGAGGCAACAAAAAAGACGCAGACAAGGAACAAGAAGAAGAATGGACTCTGAATATGCGCAGCCTGTATTGCCAGCATTTGGCAAGGGCAGGGTTTCGTTTTTGGGACCGTTGTGGGGGGTTTGAGAATCGTGGAGAATAAAGGCAACAAACAGGAGAAGGACAAGAGAAAGGATAAATGATAAAATCGGAAAGGATGAGGTAAAAGTGAAGAACGGAAAGACAGAGTCAAAGAAAAGAAAACGATAAGCAAAATGGTGAGGAAGAAAGGCAAAGTGAAAATACAATAATGGAGGCATAAAAAAGGAAGACTGGACATTACATTGTATTATTTGCGAGCGAATATATTATCTTGTATTATAATGAATTATATTGTGAGTGGAAATCTTGAGCTCCACGCCTTTCTTTGGATAACCGTCCTGCCGATTGGGGTCGCTGGTCTCACCAAATATAGAAAATGCACGGTGACAAACAATAGTTCTTGTAATATATTGTAACTATTGTTTGAAAAGCTGTTTGAAGGCTGTAGGATGCTTTCAGTCTTTTCCGACTATTGCGCTTTCAAGGCCGAATCACAGTGCTTCGTGATGGTGCGGCGATTCTTTTACCAGCTCCATGACATTGAATTTGGATAGCTCATACAAACAAATGGAGCAGGCATGTGCAACGTTTAGGGAATGTCCCTGTTGCTGCGGAACGCAGACTCTTTGGTCGCACTCTTGCACAATCTCTTCTGATACGCCAGAAAATTCACTGCCAATAACCAATGCCCATTTCCGATCTCCGTGGGGCTGATGAGGAGCAACTGGCTGCGAGAATTGATTTTCAGCAACATAGAGGCAAACTCCAAGTTGCTTCAACTCTTGGATTGCCTTGGACAAAGGCCGCGCAACATGGAAACTCATTCGATAGAACCAGCCCATTGATACTCTGCAAGCGCGGCCGTTCAGGCAGCTCCATGCTCCAGGCGACACAATGACAGAGTTGATGCCCAAATGATATGCAGTGCGCAGCACTTGCCCCACGTTGCTTGCAGAATTCAAGCCGTCCAACACAACAAAGGGTGGTACCATCTCGGCTATAGGAATGCTGCAGGGAAATGCAACAAGAAATCTGCAGCCATCAAACCGGCGAAACAAGCGAGCATCTTTGCTTTCCATGAAGTCGGTCGGAATCCATGGGACATCTTGCCGAAACTCTGCCAAGATTTCTGGATCAGCAAGATAGAGCGTAGGAGCAACAGCTGATGCAATGGAACGAAGTTCTGCTGGAGCCCCAAGCCTCAAAGAAAATGAGGCAGAAACATCGAAAGACACATCAAGCATTCCAACCGCAACCTATTCAAAACTGGGATTGGTTCTGCATGAGAAAATGCCCCGAACCCAGTGATTATGAACTAGTGACTAGTATCTTCAGCAACGCAAGTGTCGGTATGAAAGTTTTCGGACGAAAAACCTGTTCCGCTTAAATAAGCTTGAAAAGGCAGCAGAGAGGGTGACTCTGGGACATCGTCTCCGCAAATTGCTGCACAACCTCGTGACCCTTTGGGGCATTTTACTCCACTGCTACAGCTGCTACAGGGACGTCGCCTGTGCGCAATGCATCACAAATCATCATGAAGTCATCACAATGCCTGATCCGTTCAAAGCCAAGAGGCTGTGGCAGGAGAACTGAGTCGACATGAATCCTGAAGCCTGCCTGCAGGGCATCATGAAGTTGGCGAAGGCATTCTTCGCTGTAGTGTACCTTGCAGCAAGCAGAGTCAACACGAACGAACAGAGTTTTCTTTGCCAAAAGAAGTGCAAGTTCAAGAGTCCCATGCTTTGGCACTATCCTGCAATGTCCTTGCAAGGGACTTGACTCATAGAATCTCATCAAACCAATGACCTTGATCTCAGTTCTTCGCAATTCATGCAGTCACAGCGCATCGACAATACAGTCCAGCTTGTTCAGGGGCTTGAGACGTTTTCGCCTTCCTCCCTCCTACAGAATGAATGCAGCCCCAGCCTTTCCGAATACCCCTCAAACCACGCTCAAACTTTCAAGACACATAACTTTTGGCACCTCAAAAGTTTGGTTTCTTTGTATGATGGAGGGATCTTGTTTGATCCGGATTGCAATTGTTCATATGGCCAGTACCGCCAACAGCTTTCTGCTGGCAGTCTTCCACTGTTTGTACGGTCCTGTTCATCCTGCGGCATATCATTGCTGCCTCGCCAGGGGCAGGAAAGGAGAGCATGCTGTGACATCGGTGACCAACATAGAGCGAGTCTTTGCAGCGGCAGCCTATCGTTACATGAAATACAGTGCAGATATAATTTGATACCAGTAGTACCGCATAAGGCGGTGGCGGAAGTTTCAAAAATAGGAAACCTATAGGAGAGATTGGTTGTTGTGAATCACGGATGACAGAGCGAATCCACTGATGGACCGAAAGGTGGTTGGAGCTGTGTTTTTTGGAGTGGCTGCAATGGTTGCAGTGGTCACCTGGTCGGTCACCTCACCCACAACTGCTGGATGTAGTGTGGTGTAGAGCAGCTGTAGTTGTAGTTGTAGTTGAAATGTAGTGGAGCTGTAGTTGTGGTGTAATGTAATTAGTGTAGTGTAGTTGCAGTTGCATTTGTGGTGGTGTAATGAGTGTAGTGCAGTGTAGTGTGGGTGTAATGTAATGCAATGCAATGTATTGCAATGTGGGGTAGGGTAGTGTAGTGTAGTGTAATTAAGTGTGGTGTAGTGTAGTGTAGTGTAGTGTAGCCTAGTGTAGCCTAGTGTAATGCAATTAGTGTAGTTTAGTGAAGCGTAGCAAAGTGTAGTCTAGTGTAGTGTAGTGTAGTGTAGTGCAGTGCAGTGTAGTGTTGTGTAGTGTACTGTATTGTAGTGTTGTGTTGTGTTGTGTAGTGTCGTGTGTTGTGTAGTGTAGTGTAGTAGTGTGGTGTAGTAGTGTGGTGTAATGCAATTAGTGTAGTGTAGTTGTAGTTGTAGTTGTAGTTGTAGTGTAGTGTGGCGTTATGTAATGTATTGTAGTTGCAGTTGCAGTTGCTGTTGCTGCTGCAGTTGCAGTTGCAGTTGTAGTTAGTGTAGTGTGGTGGAGTGGAGTGGAG